TGGCACCACTTCGGTCGCTTCCAAGTCTAATTTTAAGTAGAACAAGCGACACAAAGCCAAACCCACGGAGCTCGGTCCCCCTGTTTCAACGGCCATCTTCAATCCGTCAGGCACCGATCTACTGAACCTGCTCATACCATTATTTGAATTCAGACCTGGTGGGCTGATCTTATTATGGAAGCTTTCGTCGAAGCGATCCATTGATGATGAGCTGCTATGGCTGAAATATAGTTGGCAGCGGCTGGAAGTGTAACGCCACATGAAATAATCCGAACAGAATAAATTCCTAGATTACCTCGACTTCATTTCAGTGGGAGTTTGGTGTTCATTACTGACATCAGAGATCCGCTGTGTCCTCCAAGGCGGTCGAAAGGAGTTTGTTACGCCTGAAGTAGCTCAGACATGTCTGGAAAATAAATGCAAAGTAGAGTTATAAGGTCATCTCGAGGTTTGAATTATATGAGTAGCAAATGATCAAAGCAAGCAACAATCTTATGGTCAGTGAAGTGGGCTGCATCGCTCTTAACATGCTATTAAGACATTACAGGTCGCGACTGAATTCCGTGCAGCCTCTTTCTTTGACAAAAAAGCTGTTTACGTTGGTCTAGGGAACACAAGTCGTCCAAGCGTTCCCACTAACACGTGTTTTCAACTCGGTCTGAGCTAGTAGTGTCGAAGAGCAAAAGGTACCTTGTCTCCGATTGAAAGATTGCTGGAAAGTAGGCATAAATTTGGAAGAGCAAGAAGTAGTCCTCTTGGGATGGTGCGCTGCACTCCAACTATTGATACTACAGGTGTCCTAAGGTTATGGGTGCTTCTTCACTACAAAGCATCCAAAAATTCTGAGCTAAGAGCATAGAGGAATTCATATGCATGTTTTCTTATTATACATTATCCCACTATAAAAACTCGGCTAGGAGTGTTTGTTGGTTTGTAGATGTGTGTATTTTTGACCGGAAATTCACAAGTCCTGTTTCCAAAGCGTTCAAAGTTGGTAGGAGTACGGACGCTAGGGTCGGAACCCTTATGGTAAGTGGCAGGACCAGACTCCCTCCACAGGGCACATCGCGAAGGTCAAAGTAAATTTGCCCGTATATTCATAGCTCCTGTTTTAGTTGGCGTAGAGCGTTCAAATTTTGTAGGAGTATAGGCGAAAAGGTGGTATGTGATAGGAAGTAATAACAATATAAAGAAGGCGATAAGGTACTTCAGAAGACTAGCCGCAGGGTCCGTTACCCCTCTGTCAACTTTGAAACCATGGCACTTTAGCAGGGGTGTGGGTAAAGAAGAAACCGTAGACGTTTGGTGATAAGGATTGATATCAACCATTAGGAACTGAGAACGAGCTATAGGAGGCGAAATCCACTACCCCTATGACGCCTTTTGTAACAGTGTAGGTTTGACTCTTGTGTAGGTGGTGGGAGATGTGAGGGGAGGTGATTGGTGACAAGGTCTGACAAAAAGCGAAAAGGTCTGATGATGCCTTAGAGCGAGCGAGACACTAGACGCCAGTGGTCCCCAACGTTCTTTTTTTGGATAGTGAAATCTTGGTATTCCAATAGGTGATGTAGGATGTGACGGGTTCATTGGTAATTGGCGATGGAATATGACATAACTAACGTGTGAGAATGCGGTGTAAACGAACAGGGCACGCTCTTCGTGTTGACAATGGAACCTTAGGCTATTTATGGTGACGGAATTGAGAACGGTCGGTGCCAAGGAGTGGTAACAATTGATGAAAGCTTGTAAGAAGCCCCATGTTTCGATATCATTTGCGACCAAGTTATTCGACCGCCAATAATACAAGATTCTCATTCAATGATATGTCCCTCAAGAACAAAAGAGGCACTGATAACGACGTCTGATAATAAATCCTCAGAGGGCAATTATTCTCAAGATGAAAAGCAGAGGGTCGAGACTTTTGATTATAGGCACGAGTACGACACATACCGAATACACTTACACTGCCCCTTTCTCTTTTCGGAAAAGGAGTAGCGGGCTACTAATTATTACAACGCTATAATGAGAAGGAGGGAAGCACGGTTTCAGCCGGCTGACACGACTGGTTTAGAATAACAAGCTGTAATAACATTTCAAATGTCTCCCATTAGCACGAATGTGGGCCCGAAGTCTGTTTTTGAGCTCCACGCATGTTGCACGCGAGCATCCCTCTCCCATTCCTTCCTAGCCACTCTTGAGCCCAGTTTCAGGAATTCAAACCGTATAACACACCCTACAGGCTCTTCCGAGTCATGGACCACGCGGCGAAGGTCACAAATCTCAAATCAAAGCAGGCTGCCCATTCCACACAGCTGAGAGAAGAAGGCGGAGTCTCGTCTCGTTTCCTGCATGGGCTTGGCTCTGCGAGCTGAGTACCGCTCTGCTGAAAGGCAACGGGGTGTTTTAGGAAGCGGGATTGGAGCAATGCTTCAGTATCACCATCAGCATGCTCTTCAAGTGCACGCATTTTCCAGTTCTCTCGCCCGTACCGACGAAACCAATGTCGTCTCGCCACTGCTTAGACTCCCACAATAGGCATGAGTCTTATTTTGAATTTTCGTGAGAGGTGACTTTATCGATGTTTCTATTCAGGACACGAACGTTTCATTTGTTGAGAATCGGCTTTGTCGTGAAGATTTCGTGTCAAAGAACACAACGAGGGAGTGTATGTCCCTACTGAGACAGGTGAGGAACTTTTCCTCATTTCTCGACCCTACACTGTTTGTTGAAAAGGGAATGAAGTGGCACTTCATACCGTAAAAATGGCATGGAAGCTTCTGCATGGCAACCCGCCTCATCGATAACTCCGCTGAGTCTTCCTCTGTTTCCAATTTCTTGGTGGACGCCCCGGATCTACCCGCAAACGAATATTTCTAATAACTTTATCTCTTGAAACACTGCACTTTCTACCCATTCCGACCTTGCGTTCGATTGATTCTGTTTCCTTGTAACATTCAATAGCCTTCTGTATAGTAATCACTAGAATAGCGAAAAATTTCACTATGCTTTTCGCCCGACCTCTTGCATGCAAGTGGGCGCAAGGGGCAACGAATGGGCGTTCACTTTTCAAAAGGTAATTGAGTCTCACTTAAGTTATTATGCACATTGCAAGAAAACCTAATTATGTAACTAAATAGTGGCGAATGAAGTTATGGTAATGAACCGAATCTGCCCTAAAAATTTCTGATCTTTGCCACCCATAAATTCGGAACACCCTTTATACGCGACCTCCGGTTGAATCCATTCCACACTTTTTGATCCTTCGGAAATGAACGGTATCCATGCAACAAAAAGGTGCAACGCAATTTCACCTGCGAATAACATTTGAATAAGAAAGTTTGTGCACTCCAGGTAACCAAAGCAATTGGGAATAGATAATTTGGGCCCCGCAAACTGTTTTTGGCATGCTCCATAGGGTGATAAAATGTATTGGGTGTCTAGCGTTTCATTAGACTGATTATCAAATGTAGTAGCCTGTTGTTATCCTACTTTATATAATTCGCTAATCTGTGTGTATGTCGGTGTGTGTCTTCGACCGGAAATTTATAACTCCTACCCCCGTGGACCGTAGAATGTCTGAATTTGATAGGAGTGCGGATGGCGGGATGGGAGCATGTATGATGGGTGGCAGAACCAAACTCCCTTCACAGTGGGCGAGGCGCGCGCGATAGAAATTTGGAACTGTAATTTCATAACTCCTGTTCATGTGGACCTAGAGCGTTCAGACTTGGTAGGAGTACGGGGGCAGGATGGAACACTTACGTAGGGTAGCAGGACCAGATTCCGCCTAGAGTTCGTGCGAAATAAACGTTTGGGCGGAAAAACATAACTCCTGTCTCCATGGACCTAAAGTGTTTAAATTTGGTAGGAGTACGGGGGCAGGACGGGAACACCTACAGTGGGTGGCAGGACCGGACTCTGCTCACAAGGGGCGGGGCGTGCGCGATAGAAAATTTGGGCGGCGAATTCGTGACTCCTGTTCACGTGGACTTAGAGTGTTCAAATTTGGTAGGATTACACTCTTTGTGTTAACAGTGGAACCTCGGCATTTCAGTAAGTGATGTAGAATATGACGGGATGGTAGGTATTCGATGACAGGAACTGATAATAATTGATAAGAGAAGATAAGGGACCTACTAGAGGCCATCGACCGATCAAAATCCTGACGTATTCGGCATTTACGATGTACCTTTGACCATTCAGTATGTTTCATTCTATAAGACGGGATGCTAGAGTAGGTGACAAAAGTGAGGGGTAAGTGCAGTGATAGGTACCCATTAGCGGCATAACGATAACCAGATGAGTGTTTTCGTCATTTTTTGCTATTAGATTACTACCGCTACCCAGCAAGGTTTGTGACTTAATGAAGGATCCTCTTCATTCGATATCATTTGCAAAAAAAACTTAACCGACCGCCTGTAATTTTGAATTATCAATTAATAATATCTCTGTATAGGTAGAGTCTATTGATAATGACATCTGATAATGGTGTTATCATCACTCGAAACATTTGTGAGCGAAGGGCGAACCGACTGGCCTATTCTTGAAGGTTTAAAAAATTTGAGCAAACCTCACTATTCGTTTAATGCTTCATGCCTCGTTTGCAGTCAATCACGATGCTCGCTTCCCACCCGAGCCTCTTACTTACTCACGATATTCGTTTCTCACATGTGCCTTTGCGAACGCAATAAACGTAAACTTAATGATTTTAACGTTGAGGGACTTCTTTAGCATGTGGCGGCAATTTCTCTAGGCTTCAAATCCATTACTCCCTAAACAGAAAAGACTAGCCGCCACTTCTCTAAAGAACGTTCAACGCCAACAATGAGCACTATAAATTGCAGCAGCGAAATCGATTGGATGGCTTTAACCAGAGCAAACGTAATAGAATAAGGAGTACTATATAGTCTCACAGATCACCCATCTAGGGTGATAATAGAAATTTGAGTATAGCTCAGACTTCACGACAGGCACTGTGAATGTTTCTTCTGAAAAATGAGTCAGAAAATGGATTCTAGAAAAGATCAACGGAAAGAGAGGACTTGCGTACTGAATCTGCGGCCGCCTTGCATTCTCTTATACATATTTGATATCTTTCTGCTTTGACTATTGTGCGACCGTGAAAACGGATTGAGATCACTGGTGGAGGGACTGCTGAAAAGATCTCCTTCAGAAATCCACTTCCTACAGCTCTATTTGACCAAAAATATAGTTTGTTTTTAACTTCCATGTGCTTAACAGGCAGAATCGATCTTGTACATATGCACGTTTAAAACCTATGGAAGAAAAGGAAGGTCCTAGTTAGATGCTCTGGATTCTCCTTCTTCTCAACCATAGAGAATATCACATGCCACACGGAGCATAGTGAAATGGGTGTAACAACCGAAATCCTACTCATTCTCAAAGTGAACTCGGTAGAAAAAAGAATCACTGCCACAGCAAGCGATTAAATCAACTATTACAAAGGCAAACAACAGGTACCTGCTGTTCTTGAGCTTGTCACTTCCAATAACTGGTACTATTGTGTCGTTTTCCACTTCGCCTTCCCAAACTGAAGCTCGAGGTGCTGTTCGGCGTCGAGGATGTATCATAAACGGTTCATCACTGGTACACCTGCAACGAATTTATTCGGAAGAAAATCACTGTCCCTCCACTCGATTTTAGGCCAGCTACAAATGTGGAATTAGAGAAGTAATCTAGAGAATTGTTCAAGCATTATGTTATTGAGCTTAACTAGAAGAAGTGTTCGCAATGAAGAATGTTAACTCTGGGCATTGCTTGAAATACACGACAGTTTATAACCGAGTCCACCCAAGCAGCATAACAAGAGAATTGGAGGGTCTGGAAAGATTTGAGGAAATTTCTGCCTTTCAACTTTCTTTCCTTTAACCTTTCATATTGCTCGTGACTAATCGGTATTCGATGCGGCCGTCCAAAGGAAGTAATCGTGAACCGAACGACGTGCCATCGACACACTACCGGACCCTTTTGCTTCACCATTACAATACTGATTGCTTCGGCACTCAGACTTGGTTTGAGACACAGCGACGACTCATGGGCAGCAGTACACCCTCTCTTGTCACCTACCATAATGGCACGTTCGCTTTTTATGTGAAGAGATCTCTCCGACGAAGATTGTCATTCTTTGTTTTCGAATACCTACACTGTTCTAACCACGAGTCAAAGCAATCCTCCTCCAAGTCACAGCAAGTAGAAAAGACGTTCTCTACTCTACAATCTATTATCCATGAGGTTCTACGCAAAGTCACTTCATCATTGCTCAGGATAAAAAGTGGATGTCATGAGAAAATCCACACAGGAAATCGTAATACCTACCAACGGACGTAAGGCTAGCCCGCTATAAAGCGACGCGCTAACCCCAAGAAGGACATGAGGTTATCTTCCTCTGCTCAACCGAGTGTTTCAATGAGATCGTACCAAAGCGCATTGCGGTAAACGCAGGAGTACTCCGTTACCGACAGAGAGAGATGGTGTTTCGACTTCCCATTTCACACCGTTTAAAGGTGCATTTTCGATTGTGATGGAGAATGCTCGACCACCCCGGGCGAGGACGTCGATGGATGAGCTGGGAAGACTTGGTATAACCTGATCACTTCATTACCCACATATTTACCTGACCTCATTCCATTCGACCGCCATACTTTCAGAAGCCCATAATTCTGCTGTACAGAAAACATTCATAAACTGTCGAGAAGTCAAGAAGGTGGAAGATGAATGGATTGCGTCACGCCTCTCTTCGTATTGGTGGAATGGTATTAATGTCCTGTCCGGTTGATGGAAAGACATTTTGGCCAAGAAGGGTCACTATCTTAATCATTGTTCGAGGTGTGTTGCTGCAGTTATTTTGTACCGAAAAAACTGGTTGAACTTTTTCAAAACTTTCTGGACACCTTTATATTGAATATATCCTTGATGAAAGTGGTTTCTGCGAGTGTTGCTTCTTGACCCTGTTCAGACTCCACTCTTCGTCTGTCGTTGGTAAGACAGCCACATAAGGAAACACAAAACAATGTTCGCCTCACCAGCAAATGTTTAAGAGGACAAAATCTTTCCAGGGTTTATGACAAATTTTGAGTGTGATCAGGGGCTAATGAAGTGATTTTTGTTATCAGCTAGTGCACCTCCACCATTTTCCTGGAAACTTCTATACAAAATAGAGTGGCTTCTGGCATCAATGAGGTGAGACACGTCTTCTGCCCGCTAAATCTTTGATGTTTCAGTGAACTCGTTCAAGGCAGTAGTTGTCATTCGCCAAGTTGGGCTCATGTCAATAATGTAGTCTCCGTGCAGTAGCTTATGTTATTTTGAAAAGAAATCGGCTCTGGACTTTTTTGAAATTCACTGAAGTCGGAATGAAGCCAAAGTTTTAGAAGCGATGAATCTGAGGTGAAAAATGCTTCGTGGTATAAATGCAGAGAATGGTTGTGGTTGTACTTCATAGTTGAACATACATTTCGACGCAGCTGCCGACTTGTGGATTGATGGTTCGTTGAGCGCTTTCGGCAGTGTAAAGCGGCTCGGGCAAGCTATCTTCCCAGAAATTATCACGAGCCATTTCTGGATAAGAGTCGTGAGCATTATCGACGACGTTCAGCCCGACCTCGAATAATAATAAAAAATGTTGTAAATAAAATATCTGAAAATATAACAGAAAGAATGTACTAAACCCGGAAAAATAATTTTGAACTCTTTCGAATGCTTCATAAGATACTTAAAAATATACGATGTGCAATGCCTTCACGAGTTTCTTTATCAGCTCGGAACAGTCTCTTTTTTGAAAGTCTCCGATCTTCAACCTTCACCCATTTGTTCTTTTCTGTTTTTCTCAATTCGTTCGTCATGATGTTCATTTATACTTCCCTTTCATTCAGAAATTTCCAATATCCAGCACTCACTTCCCATACATCCCATTCCATCCTAACTCTTGTTTCTGCAGCGGGCATAAACGCCTCGCAAATGCTCCAGTTGAATTATAAGCCTTGTTCTTAGTGTTCTAGAGAGTTGCCTCTCATTCCCCTACCACTATGGATCACTATTCTGGGCTCTGGTGAAAAACTGTGCTAAAGTTGCTGAAAGTTTTTGGAAATAGGACCCTTACAGGCCTCCAAAATAGGCTAGCTTTCATTTGTGCTCTTGTCGTTAGGGCACAAAGGGGTCCCCAGACAAAAATCTCTGTTTCCATTTGAATCTCTACGCTACAGCAGTGGATTCTATGGAAACCGGCGATTTCGCACTTATTCAGCGCTGCAGACCACGTGTTCTTAAGAAAATCGTGAAGTAATTCACAGGTTCCCACGGTGCCAATTGCACATTCAGAGCCTTCAGTCAACCCTTCAGTAGTGGTTCAGGTGATCACCCTTTTATAGTGGTTCAGGCTGGTCGCTAGAAGAGTACGTAATGGCAGCATAACTATACCACAATGAACCTTATCTCAATACGGCATGACTTTTGGCCAGTATATATGCTTGCTTCAGCCTCCCCGAACTCCAATTTTTATATGGCTAAGTTTTCGGCGAGTTCTCCTTCGTCAGAGCCTGAAAGTCGAATAAAAACTACAGTTAGCTCAATAAAGTTAGAAACCTTAGAAAGGCTGCGGCGAGCATATATTCCAGGGCAGCACAACTGATCGATTTCTGATGTATCGAGTCATGTTAAGATTTAATTTATGCCTGCACTCTGATCCTTCTAAAAATCTCACGTTGTGGACAAAATAGTGAATGATATTCCGAATCAATGGCGAAAGTGACACAGTGGCAAGTGGCGCATTACTAAACACGCATGTTCTTCCGTTTGAATCCCCACTCGGTAACCGCCTCCGCAACCGAGGCTCACATTCCTTCGATACTAAAACTGTCTGAGAGGATACAAGAACTAAGTTGTACATCAGCTGGCCACTACAAGGTATTACGTAGGCAACACTCACTTGAAGTTATCGATTATGGGAACAAGTGATGGAAAAAGCGCTGTCAACCGCTGTTCGGCATTTGCCGATTTTATGCTGTCAACCGCCACAATTCCTGAAGCGTGCCGAATCGAGACCTTCCTTCACACCAATTCTTTCCAGCTTGTGTGGTCTATACCATGACTCCAATGACCAGCCGATTCACTAGTCAGTGTTTTCATCCTCCCAGACGAGTCTGATACCAATTAACTTATGACGAAGACATGGAAGGTTTTTTGACTCGCGCGGCTACCGATGCGGGATTCAAACGGCGGAAGTAACATGGAAAGGGTATTCGGACGAGATTTCAGTTAATGCGATTTCACAAAGGCTGACCACATCAAGCCGGAGTTGTACAGAACTGTCTTCCACTGTCGCTATGGGCCATGACGAGTTGTTTGAACTCCAAGATGGGAGTCCCTTGTGATTGGCGCAGCCTCTTCAATGCCGGTGAAATTCAATCAAAATTCAAATGCGTATGTGTTAGTGCGCCACTTGCTACTGTATCACTTCCGCCCTTGATTTAAAACATAATTCAACATTTTGCTACAACGTAATGTGCTTAAAAGGATCAGCGCGTGGGTAGTAAATCAAGTCATAACATGACTCGATAAATCAGAAAACGATCAGTTACGCTGATGCTATGCTCAATTTGAACGTTTTTCGGTTCGGTTCGGAAAGCTCCCGATGGTTGAAAATGCCTAGCTGGATTATTAAATTGATTTATTGTTTCATAAAAAGTTTTTGTAAAGATTGTTTGCAATGGTTAACGCTGTCAAAATTTACCTGCAGATTTCGATCCAGTATGTAATTGCATTCGAAATCATCGTCGTCCTCACCGAGTGGATTGAGTAGAACTTCAGCAACCTATTTAAAGATGAGTAGCTAATAAAATAGGGAGAAATTTCGAAATTTTTATAAGAAGAACTCTTACACACGAGTTTTTCGTAAAACATGTCATACAGCAACGGCTAATAAGCAGTTTCGACAGTTTGGATATTCTTCAAAACCTTTTACTACGTCATATTAAATCTTCGGTTTTCCACTATGACCAGCTAGCTTGCGTACGATTCGGAAACATATCGGAACGACCTTCATGAATTTGCTTGTATTTTGCCAGCATCAAAAGTAAGGAGAGACTGGCCTAGAGTTTTCCCTTAACAAAATACCGGAACACATGCACAGCACACAAGCAAGTTTGCTATTCTATTAGCAGCGCTGTGAAAGGTGGGCGCTCGATAAATAGTAACCTAATCAAACAGCTGTTAAGAATTTTATACCAAACTACACATCCTGAGACCACTTCCCATTTCTATGACCAGTCATCTTATCACAGTGCATATCGCTACTATAGGTCCTACTTCACCAGAGACATTAACTGATGCAGTGGCTCATTTTGGTAGCACATACTGTCATAATCGCTGTTCAATAAAATAATAACACGAGTGTTCCCAAAGAAATATGGGCTTGGATATTTCTCTCACAAATGCCTCTCTAAATTTCGATCGCTCCGCGCTGTAAGTCCAGTATGACAAATAGTCTAAAAAGAAAGTTCATAAGGCATTTCACTAAAAATCAGTAGCCAAACTGTTGAAGTATGTTCCATCGGTCGACAGCTTGCTTGCTTGTTTGCATACTTGCCGACAGCTTCTAAGGGATGCAGAATCAACGCTTCTTCACGCATGCATGGTCGCAATTATAAGCTCGACAATCGAGAACAAGACTATAGTTGTGAACACGTAAACAATGATGGCCCAGGAGTTCTTATTCTATTTCAGATGGGACCGCACACTCCACAACGTCGACTCTTCGCTGTTGGAACTTTATAATGTTGACGCTTGAATTAGCCCACTGGAAGACTTGCCCATGCCGTCTGTGTCCAACGACTAGTAATAAGTTAGACTCGAGAACTTCTTGATAACTTGCGAATCCATTTGACATTAACAAATGCCAGCTGCAGCTTTTTTCCAGCAACAAGCTACCCAGAAAATCGTCGCCGATCTACAGTTTGAACAGCGCTTGTTCTCTCCACAAATCTCGCTATTAGCATTTACAATCACCGAGTCCATCCTTGGCAAACTTTTTTCCACCAGAAAAAAAATATCTCCTTGGCAAACTTCTTTCCACCAGAAAAAGAACTATCTGAATTTATGAAATCACTATTCAAGAAAAACAGGGCTAAAGTTGCAACAGTACCCGTTGCAATGCGTCAAAACGTTTCTTCGGACAAATCTCCTTCTACACTTCGGTAAGCATGATAGTCACTTCATAACTTCCTTCACGATTGCTGGCGCCTAATAGCCCTCTGGATCGCTGATCTCAAAACAGGGTGGCTTCAAGTCTGATCTTAATATAAACTACGCTGCGCTTGCTAAGGAAGTATGCCCTCAAGTTTGTCGTTCATCTCTTAAGAAAGCTTGCTCCCTCGTTTGACGGTTCCACAAGTGCCGTAGGTCTCAACCTCCATTATTCGTTGGGCCATTACATCGATGGAGATTCGTGGAGCGCGTCGTCCTGAAAGCGTCGAACCAGAGCATCCGAGGAGCCTTCGATCAGTAATCTTCGGAACCCTCTCTCTCTTCGGATAGGTTTTTTACGAGGTACCTCTTTGAATGCATTGTACCCACGTCGTGGAAAACTAGCAAGGCTACTACTGTTGGACGACATTGGCAACCATCGCCTAAACTGTCTGCTATCGTAGTCTACTAAATGTTCACACAGGTTATTCATAACAGGTTTGACAGAACACCAGATGACGGATGGCCATGCGATCAAGTAGGGTATCGAAGAAGGTTTACAATCGATGGCATTCATACTGATAAAAGGTTCGTTAAAGTGTGTGTCGTGAGAGCATACGATGTCGTTATGTATTAGGTTCATCGATTTGAAGAGAACCTTCACCAATCCCCACATAGAAGCAGTAATGCAAGCCCTGATCCACCGGAGTGTTCCTACTCCGGTTGGACAAGGTTCCTACATAAGATTGTTCTGTAGCTCCACAACAAATTCTCCACCAAAATCGTACCATTCTGCCAGAATTCTTTGTTCAAGGGAGAGTAGATCATCGCCTAATTTCACAATGACGCAATCGAGGAGGCCTTTTGTTATTCGGAAGGAACTTTGTTTGAGAGAATGTCGGCGGCCGCTACTTCCATCACCTCTGCTTGCAGACGTAGTCGCGCTTATACCATTTGACAATCGGAACGAAACCGGCCCAACAGCGCTTGTGGTAAAATGGGTTTGAGACTGGACTTAACGAAGAATGTTCATGAAAAACGGATTGGTACTTGATGCTCCTTTAACACTAAACGAAACGAGTATCTCCAAGGCTTGGCTTCGTGTACCAAGGTCATGGAGGCTGTGCAGATGGAAACGTGCGGGGTGGGAAGTATTCAAGAATATATAAGAATATATAGGGAATAGTGAAGAAGATAATTAACATCGTGCTTCGCGACATCCTCTCGAAACTGCCGTCTACCCTACTTTGACATACAAGGTGGAAAAGGTGGTGCTAGGAATTTTATTATAAATTCCAGTGCGAAGGGCAGTTTCGAGCTCCGCCAACTGGCATAGATGTCATTCATTACTCCGAGGAATCCAAGAACAGGTGGGGTGGACACGTCATGCGATCCTGTAATGACCGTCAGAACAGAAAAATTATTGCCTGGGTCCCTCGAGAAGTCAAATGAACATAAGAACGTCGCCAGTGAGATGGTCAGACTTCTTCTTGAAAAGCTTGACTAAAAGGAATTGTAGTTCTCGTGTCCATTCAGCGAGACCTCTCATTGGAGGACTGTTGCTCGCAGCAGGATCGGATGGAGACGTTGCTATTATCTGCCTGAGGAAGCCAATGATACTCGGTAAACCGACGACAGGTAAGGCGGTGCAGAAAATTTTTTTTCAATTTTTGCTACAAGTCTTGAATTCAACCATGATATAGCGTATCCGCCTTGGTCGAATTTCTTTTCGATCTCCTCTGGACAAGGACGAATCGATACTTGTCCAGAGAAGCTATTGATCTATGAGTTATCGATCGCTGGGGGTATAAAGGCCAGTCGGATCGGCCCGCTAACGCCGAGCTTTCCCCCTTCTTTAAGTTTCAGTAATCGGCAAACCATCACCCCATTTTGAGAGGAATGATGCTTTTCTGAGCACGGAATTCGACAGTCTTTACAACTTTGACTTAGGACTCAAAAAGAGGATAGCTGGCATAAGCAGAGCAGCGTTGCGTTTAGGGTGTGCCGACGCTTACGCCTACGATTAAAAATGTCGATTGGTTGCTCTCCATCTTGAAAATTATGGCCCATCAAAGGTTCAACAGATAGGCAATCAGAGAAGTGAATGTATTCACATGAGAACACTCAAATGTTCTCAAGTGACAATAACACCATTATCAGATGCCGTTATTACAGAACCATCTTTCCTCCACGGAAACATTGTCAGTTGAGAATCCCAAATTATTGGCGGTCGGATGAGATTTGACATTATTGATATCAAAAAGTAAACTTGTACTCCCACTGAGTCACAAATCTTGCTGGGTAGCGGTCGTAATCTAACAGTAGTAATCATCGTAAAAAACATGATCGTCAAATTCAGTTGGTAAGTGCCCTTATAGGTCGCTATCAGCTGCTATCATCCCCTATTATCGACCGTCTACGACCCCATCATAAACCACATCACATGCCAAACTGTCAAGGCTCCGCTGTTAACGCCCTCATTATAGTGGCTCTACTCTTTTAGGGATTTTCTTGGTTCTTATCAGTTCCTAGCCCGGCCCGCCACCGCCGAAATGTTCCGCGGTTAACACGAAGAGCGTAGCGTATTGGTTTTGGCAGTTCATTATCACCCGGTATCAGTAGTTATCAGCTCCCGTCATCGAGTACCTGCGATCCTGTCACATTTCACATCACCTATTGAAATTCCATGATTCCATTATTAACAGGAAGTGCGTTACAGATTTTGTGGCTCTCGAGTTCTATGACCTTTTATCAGCTCTTATCACATGTTATCAGCACTTGACACCATCGGTTGATGCTCTCTTTCCATCCCACACCACCTACCAAATTGCCAAAGCTTCACCGTTAACATAAAGGGCGTTACATACCTAGTGGCTTTCGCCTTCTATGGCTTCTTACCAGTCCCTATCGCTAATTATCATTCCCTGTCACCAATCGTTGACGATCTCTTCGCATCCTACACCAACTGCCAAAGTGCCAAGGCTTCACCGGTTATACGGAGGAATTCGGATTCTGTGTCTTTTGCCTTTTAAAACTCCTTATCAGCTTCTGTATGATGTTATCAACTCCTTTCACCTACCATCAGTGTTCCCATTCTGCCGTTTATCTCTTTTTCAAACTTGAATGCTTTAGCTACAGTGAAACAGGAATTATGAGTTACCGGTCAGACAAACATACACACATACACACACAAACAGACTAACAGGCACACTTAGCCGATTATATAAGTAGGATTTGTACGCTATTGAGTTATTCCACCGAATAAAAGCGAAGTGGAAGTCAAAGGTGGCTCATAATTTGAGGAGTAGAAAGTGAACGTCGTTACATCGAATTAGCCTGTAACAAATAGTAAAACCAACTTTCATCCAACCGACGAAGAAGATGAATTGGAGAATTGACATAATCGGTATATAGAGATCAATCTGCAAAGAGTAATCGATTGGGCTCCCTTAAATCTCACGCCTTCCCTTACCTAAACATTTTGAAATTTATGGAATGAGAAAAAAAACATTGCAGACATGAAAGCGGACGGAGTAGCGCATGCTCTCCTAAAAATAGGATGTCAATTGACATGCCGTTTTCGATGAGTCAATATTCCTCGTTCTGACTATATCCGGATGAAGGTATTGTCGTCCAAGCAGCGCGACCATGAAGTAAGTTCTAACAGCCAGATGAACAACCTTAACATAATATTATACCTGAATTTTCCATCCTTGAGCGACTTTTTCACTTTTATTTATGCTCACTTGTGAATTTTATTTCAATGCTGGGCTTCCAAACTGAAATGAGCCAAATGAGCCACGAAGCGGTTCTGCTTTCAGAATTGGTTATCTCGGTTTTCTTTTTGCAATGATCTGACTTAGCACCCACAGTGACATACGACCTCGATGGTTCCCTGGGTATTGATTCTGTCACGTTCAGTGCGCTCTCCTATTCGTGTTTATCCGGTCTACTAGTAATTAGCTGTGGATCCCTTTCACTGTTGGTTCTCTCTCGCTGAAAGATCTCTAAGCGGTCAGTGACAAGGCTACGTTGGGCGTCCCTAGAGAACGGCTAATGGGCACTACTCAGTTCACACCTCTTTTGAGACTGAAGAAGAGCAGTTCTTCGGAGCATGCGACAGCAGAGGCGTTGGCGGCGTCAGTGCCTCGTCAATATGCATTTGGCTATGAACATCTATCCGTTCGAAAGCTTGACAACACCAATCGAACGTTTGCGAGTGCGAGCGAGCAGATGTAGCTCGACCTCATTTCTAAAACTCTTAGATGCCTGCGGATCAACACCAAGCTACGAAGGGGTAGAGTTGAGAGCGTCTTATATTGACCTAAAAGGCTTTTCATAGAGAACCGCACTATTTCGAGGTCATCATCGGTGATTTCACTGCACAAATTAGATTCAGGACAGATTCAGGATTGGGCTGGTGAACCCCTATTAGGATTCACGGATCGGAATGGAATGAAGAGGATGAAAAACGGGTTCATCATGTCGATTCGCACCATCCATGGTGATTCGCTGTTTCAGAAGCCTCACCATTTGCTATGGGTTCCACAATAGGATAGACCATATCATCTTCAATCGAAAGTTCTGCCTAACTGATATCGCTGCCGTTCTGCTTTGGATCAGACCAACAACTTATTCGCGGTAGATTCTTCAACACAGTGCGTGGAGCGGTAAAGTTCCAAAAACGAAGCCCAGTATACTATTGATTAGTACCGCTTCGCTTCCCTCGCGAGTCACTGGGAAGATTCCGTTGTCGTTAACTTCGAAGAACTCGAGCCTACAAGTAGCCAAAGGGTGCCCCACAAAAACTCGTGGCTGATACGCTAGCGTGGGCACAGGGAAGTGACCTCTCCCCGTCGTCCCGAAAGAACAATTAAGAAGGGCAGTGAAGAAGGTCATCTACGATTTCTCGACATCTATTAGGTTTATGGATAACTATTGCGAATATTTTCAACAAATTTTATTTAGGAAAGGGAAAACTCATTTAAGAAAGGCATGTTCGAAGAATTGCTCCGGAATATAGTCACCATCTCCGTCGGACACTGCTTTCCATTTGCTAAGTAGTCGGATACCACAGGCAAGGAAGTTTCGATTCTTAGAGGCGATCCACGTCTTGACGTCGGCCATCAAGTCATCCACTACGTCGAAAGTTCTGTTCGCTAGCCAATTTTTCAACGGACCATTGGCGTGATGATCCATAGGGGCTTCTTTTAGTGAATAAGGCGACTAGCAGATTCCATACTTCATTCGGCTTCGGCTGGCTGTTCCATCGCCGAGAAGTTCGTTAAGATCACTGTGTGACTTTGCCATCTCCCATATTTTTTGGAGTAATATAGCACAATGTGGCGTTTACAAAGATGATTTCTGGACATATCTCTGTTAAGTGAAGCAAGAGGATTATTTCTGTTCAATCCCGAATTCAATATTCAAACGTATCGAGAGTAAAGAAGCCGCGAAAAAATCCGCAGTAATTATTCATCAACTTAGTACTTGGATTTTTCGATAGCCACTGCCTACCTTCTATTTTGGGCGAGACGGATATGTGGTTCCTCCAATTTTCCGTTCCGGAATTGACATCCAACGATGAAGCATTGTACTGCGCCCGGTCCCAATAGGATCTAACCAGAACATCTAAACTTATCGGCAGAACTCCTGCTAGGCTCTTCACGCGGTACATGTCGGAATACAAAGCGCCCACATCGTGGAAAGTCAACCAACGTACTTGCTGCATGGGAAAAAGATTCATACCAATTTGTCAACCGACGCCCAAGAGCATGTTGTTATGAATACTTTCGAGATAGAAGTGAATGCCTTGGGTAGCCAGGGTAAGCCTTGAGTAGCCAGGGTATTTCCACTGAATATATTAAGTTGACGCATAATTATTGCGGATTTTTTTGCGGCCTTTTTCTCTTGATAGAATTCGAGTATTGAGAAATGATCTGCTTGATTTCCTCTACAAAAATGTACTTAGAAAACTATCCGCATATTCGCGAAATTAGGTTCTACTACTTCGAGAAAGGTTGGAAGGTGGCAGAGTCATTTCGCGATCTCAGTAACTTTTCGGCGATGGAACAACCAGCCAAACCCAACCAAGGAATGGGATCTGCTGCTAGATCTGCCATATGCACAAGCAGTAACTTCTACGGATTATCGTCAACCGTTCGCTGAGAAAAGGGCTAGGGAATAGAACTTCTGTCGATATGGATGTCTTGAGGGAATCCTATGATATCGCGATGAACGCTGAACCAGGGCGGACTGACTGGATCCATAGGGAAATGAACACCAGGACGGCCGCCAACGCAATGATCAGAATTCTCAGAATCAGTTGTAATCGTAGAATACAGATTACACGGTGTTATCGAAGTTTGTTGTTGTTTTTCGATTGTTCACCTTGAGTCTCACAGGAATAATATTAGGGCAGTGGTTCTGACACTATACAGAACGAATACTGTCCTGCGAGAGTGAGATCAGAGATGTTGGTTCCCTGACGCGTAGAAGGAGCATCAGGTGCGGATCTCATTGCCAATGAAGTTTCCTACGAAAATTGCCTTCCCTTCATTAAGTTCAGTCGAAAACCGATCTGTCAATCGTCTAATTCGGCCAGCATTTATTCCGCCTGCTCAATCTTAGGTCTTATGAGCGCGATGTCGCCTGCAAAGCGGAGATGTTGTAAGTAGCGGCTGATGGCTTACACTCCCATGCCTTCCCATCCCACATGTCGCATGATGTCCTCGATAGTGACACGAAAACATTGAGCGAAAACAGCCCTGATAAATAAACAATCACGTTGATAGTGACTTCATAACATAATGAAATGGCGAGATCTTGGTCGTGAGGTTGCTGTAGAGCTCACGAAACATCCTTGTATGCATATTGGTGGTTGCCCAAGGCTTCGATTACCGCTTCTGTCTCGATGGTATCGAAGGCTCCCTTCAAAACGATAAAAGCAAGATATAAAAGCATTTTGTACTCTCGCGATACTACAACAAGTCTTGTAACGGTGCGGATGTGATCGATTGTACTGAACCTTCCCCAAAACCCTGCTTGCTCGCATGGTGCCCTTTATCTATAACCTGCCAATCCTGTTGAGAATGACTTGTGTGAAGAGTTTCTAAATTACAAACAGCAGGCGGACTTGGCGGTGACTGCCAATGTCGTCTGGACCTCCCTTCTTATACAGCAACAAGGCCTTGCTAGTTTTCCTCAAAGTGGGCACTTTGCATTTCGACAGGTAAAAGGTCGGGGCATGGTTTCCACCTACAGAGGTATAATAGCTTTCTTAATCAAATCTGTCCTGAACGCAACGTCGTGCTCTCTATTAGTTGACCGAGACGATTGGTAGCTGTAGCGGCACTGTACTCTCACGAATCATTGGGGAATGTTACCATAAATTTGATCCACCATACTGCATCTCATAATGATTTCGGCACTGAATCAATACTGACTTGGGGGAATGGGATCGGTGCTAGGAAGAAACTGAAAGCAATACATATCCGAAGCGAGGAGCGAAGTATCAGCAATCCAATCTCGAACAACCGGAATGAGTGAATGGTCATCATAAGAACTTCAAAATATTTCAGGTTCTCGAAAGCATGATTGTCGATCGTTTAGCCTTTATACTATAACGATCATGTTTGACAAAGCATTATAGCGTGCTTCGAGGAGAGCTACATAGCTACAGATCTGTAAAAACCGTAGTAATTATGTAGTTTCCTCATCCCCAGAAAACTTAGTCGAGTCGCTCATCCCCCTTAGCCCTTCCTTCCACCAATATGGAACGAATGTCACGACCGTGTGGTTTATGACTATGTCTAGGAGAATGCATGGAGAACCGTTTCTGTGTCACACTTTAAACCTACCAAATCGCCTTCGAGAGGGAATCTGAGATTGTTGGTCGAAAGATCATACCACGTGAAGCATATCCCCAAAGGAATCAACGAGTTGGTTTCGATTCTTTTTAACAAATCTGTTGGACCTGTCACTTTCGAAAAGAGTGAAACGCGAAAATCAAGTCGGTTTTCATTCTGTTTTCTAGCCCCCACTCAAGATTACGACCAATTACTCGGCTAATGTTTTGATCTTGCGCGACGATTGCTCAAACTATAAATCACAAGCACCTCTTGCTTCCACTCTTTGGCGAAAGCGAAAAGGTCCGAATTATAGCCTAACAGGTCCGCAAAACCTGTCGTGGCTTCACAGGCATATTCCAGTCACGTTCAGGCTAGGAAATTCATCGAAGGACGAGTTTGTATCGGGTGCACGGTGAAAATGTAATTGGAGGGGGTCATCACAATGTTAGTATAAGAAGGAATTAACTCAATGAAATGTCATGCCGTGTTACATCAGGAATATGCAACTTCTCAACCAAGCTTTATGAGGGAAGGAGCATTGCGGTGGGCAAGTTTTCTTTCTTTCTTTCTTTCCGTACGTGGTATCTTCCTACCCACCTCGGTGTTCCTAACTATTTGGACTCAGTCGAAAAACAACATTGCCTTGGTTGAAACCGCATAAAAGAGAACAGATGGTCGATTTCTATCCCCCTCTTCGCATATAATACATTGCTAATCTAACAAGGATTGACACGTTAGATGGAGTTCATTTCTCGATATACTAATCTTTGGATGGGAGGCCCACTCAACTACATTTTCATCCGGGTGCGCTGTGTGTCACCCATTATCCAATTTCTTAGTGGAATGATGAACTACTAACTTGAGTGTACACAAGAGGCACTGGTACCCAATCGTATAAGGTCAAACTCAATATCTGTACTCGGTATTGACGAATTTTCTGAAAATATAACAGTGGCTGACATAGGAGCAGTAATGATAAGTAAAAGCCTGATGATGCTATGTACCTCCATGAGATCGACGTAAACAACTTCGCCGGGAATATTCTTCTCTTCCCAGGCAACACGAATCAATCTGAACACCCAGTTCATAGGCACCCAGTACTTCGGATATGTTGTGATGATTGATTCGAACTCCTCCAACTCCTTTTCCGTCATCAAACCTAAGGAGTAGGAGTTAGATCTTGATCAGCTGCTCTAGTTGCCTCTATGTAAACAGGTTTTAGGACAAAGGTATTAGAACTACGGAATTTTTCGTTTTTTATGCGAGTTTACTGTGCTATCATAGAGGTCTATGGTTAACATGATTAGTTGATCGGGCAGTATCTATACACGCAAAATAATGCCAATAATTAGCGATAATTAGTTCATGCATAAGTTAAGTGTAACAAATTGAAGTCAGTGGAGCATAAAAACGACAATAAGCAAATACATCAAAAAGACAAAATAACCATGCAAACTAAAGATGGCTCGTTTTTTCTCTCCACCAACTAACCACCGTCTCCACCTTCCCCTGAGGCTCATTAGCGGTTTGGGGTTAGAGGAAAAGTTAATGGGTAAAGGTCAAATAATTTGAATCGAAAACAGGAATGAATATGAGGTACTATTGGAGATGCATATTTCTGTTTCAGAATTCCATTAACTAAATAGGTGATTTTATTGTAATTACTATGATAGAAAACTTGTAATATATAAATTTATTTCTACATAGCACTTATTTATACTAATAACTACGGATTCTTATTTGTATCAAACATGTATTAGCAGTTCTCAATGCTTCGTGTATATAACAGAGGCTTTATTGGTATTTGAAATATTATTAGTATCGCAGTGAAGAAATCTGATGACATTGAAGCTGGAATCATAGTTTTATTGTATTGTTTGGTACCAATTTTATTTAGAATTTTAATTTTTACCGTTACTTATAATAATATTTAGGTCTAAATAACCACTATTTTTCTCACTAAAATGTTTTGAGTTCAAGTGTTTCTTTAAATATCAACGAAAATTGCTTCTCAACATCTGATACAGTTTGATTATGTACTATTAGTAAATCGTCCATATATCTGAAAGGGATGAATAGCTTGTTTTTATTGAGTATTCGATCTTCCGAATAATCATATTCTATTATTGAAAGTTTCAGATCCGCTAGGAGACTGAAGTTGCCTCCTTGTCCTTGTCAACTAATCTCATTTCTAATATTGATATTACTTACAGACCAGTATATTTTGATAGTTCTGTTTCCATTTTGTATTACTCTTGTGTGATCGATAGGGTGCTTCTTTATAAATTCAAAAATAATTTGTAGCTTTAGAGCTAAAGGTTTAATACTGCTGATGAGAAGGTCCGTCACGTTAAGCCTATTACGAACACAGAAACTTGTCTTTCAGTATTTGAATAAGTTCGTAAGTGTTATTAGTATTTTTATGGACATATTTTTTATCAATCATATTATATTCAATGCCCATTCCCTTCATTTTAATGCTCAAATAAAGCTTTTGACAAACTATACCGTAACTACTTCCTGCCTCATCCAAAGAACAGAATACATATTTATTTTGATATGGCTCAACAATCCTATAAGGGCAGTACTCCCCCCTACTGGCTATGTTAGATTTCATTAGCAATGGTTTAGCAAATTTACGATAGCAATAGTATGAATGTTTGCAAAGTAAATCTTTATGATAATCATTTATTTTATAGTTGTTTTCGAAACCTTCAACATAGCATCTATGTAGATATTTTTAACTTCTTATCTTGCGATACCCTTGTCTATTCTATGCTTTGTTCCTCTTTCCAGTATGGATCTGAGCTTAACTTCTTTGATGATGCTTAAATTTCCTGTTATAACATGTCCAAATTAATTATTAAGATATCTCTTAAGAGAACCATTATTGCAATCACAGCTGTTCCCAATTGCATATTTGGGTTTCTTCATTATCCAGATTTTTTGGGACCTTATTGTAGTTGCCTATTCAGCCGATAAGGTATTATCATACTTAAATGTATATGACTCTTATTGTAGTGAACTCATTAACTTGTCTATTGTTACATAATAGAATGTCTTAAACGAAGGCGAGTTGAAGACTCAATTAAAAGGTATTTCAGTGCACTGCTACCATAACAACTATATTGTGAAATTCTGTGTCCATTTTTTCAGTTGCTATAATATTATGTGGAAAGCCTTTCGAGTGCTGTAAGCGAATCATCGTTCCCCTCCTCAAGCCCAAATCTCAGATTTTGTTTTTACCCATGGAGCGGCGATGGAAAGAAAAAAATAGAAGCTAGCTCTTCCACGATTTTCAGGATGACTTTAATTGGAATCCACTTACTATATCATATTCGCAGGCGACTACTATGAGCTATCAGTGAACATGGGCATACATAGATGTTGTAAAAGGTACGTGGTACATAACTGAGCAGCAGGGTTGGGGTAGAGGTCGACCAGTATTATTAATAAACAATCTAGTGAGCTTTCCAATAGCAGAACAGGCTGCAGCGCACAATGAAGAATTCTGGTCTCATAACTCGGCATCCAGAAAATACAGCGGATTAAGGTAGAAATTTTTTGGTTCCTTGAAAAGGAAAAGTTTTTCCCAAAATTCTTTTT